AACTGGCTTAAGAAGGAACTGCATGGTTTGCAAAACAAAAAGCAAACACCATTACCATATCATCGGAATAACTGTGTGTGAAAAGACAGTTATCCTGTGGACTAAGGTTTTTCTTGAGTCTTTGGTTTCGTGGGTGGGAACTCTGGCAGAATTACATCAATGTCCTCTTCACTGGAACGCAATGGCAGAGCCTGGATTTGGGATAGCTGGATGCTGCTGTGGGCTGAATTCTGTTCTCTGAAAAGCTATGGTGACACCAACCTCTGACCCCAATCTGGGCATGTAACCTTGTTTGGAAATAAATGTCACCAGTTAAATCAACAGGATGTTATACTGGAGTCCTGGTGTGGCGCTGTGGGTTAATGCGCCAGACTGCAAAGTCGCTTCAACTGCATGGTCGGCGATTCAAGCTCACCAGCTGCTCCTTGGAAACCCTATATAGGGTCGCTATGGGTCAGAACCAACTCAACTGACACTTCACAACAACAACAATACTAGATTAGGATGGGTCCTAATCCTATATGAGAGGTGTCCTGATAAAAAGAAGAGATGCAGGGAAATGGCCATGTGAAGCCAGAACCAAACACTGGAGTAGTAACTGGACAAGCTGAGGAATCTCTAGGATTGCTGGCTATCACCAGAAGCTAAGAGAAAAAGCAGGAGGCAAGTTTTCCCTCAAGGTCCTCAGAAGACGTCAACACTGCTACCACCCAAGTTGTGGACTTCAAGCTTCCAGCACTGTGACAGAATACATTTCTGTCCTTATAACCTAAGAAAGTCAAGTTTAGGGCAGCTTATGTTCCACATTTTGATAGCTATATACAGGGAGCTTCAAAAAGTGTGTGGGAAACTTCCATTGTCTTTTAACTAATGTTAATGTTTCCATGAACTTTCTGAAGTCCCACTGTATTAATTTTTCAACCAGAAGAAAGTCATTTAAAAATGGGTTCAACTGCAAGCAGTCAAGTGTACTCACTGGTGACCACCTGGGTCTACTTATGAGTGGAAGTGGCGGAAACATAGCAATGAAGACATGGGCTGTTTGGCCATATTCCACTGAAACCTGGTGACCTCGACACGAAAGAGAAGAGGAAGGCCTGGCTAGTCTGAAATTTAGGGAGATGTGTGAACTCCCAAGCCCACTGCCACTGACCTAGCCACTAAGGGCTAAAGCTGAGAGTGAAGTGGCCATCTGGTCTGAAGTGCGGGGAGGTGTGTGTGAACTCCCAAATTTGCAACCAGTACTCATTTGACCTAGTGTGTATGACTAGCTGACTAGAACTCAACCAGATAAAGACAAATATGTTTGATACTGTGAGCAAGGGCTACATTTTGATGACCTTTGCTTATGAATGCAGTTGCTTAAAATTCCAACTGGAATGGAAGGATTCTTCATATCAAGGAACAAGCTTGTTTCCTCGGTGCACTGGGTTGATAGGAATGGGCAATCTAGACATTGGCTATCAAAAATAGGGGATTATAAAGGCATGAAGTGGCTGGCTTATAAACTTACATGAGTGTGTTTAGTTTCAGAATGAGGTGGGTAAGGTAGAATCTCCACTGAATAGTTTTCTTCTTCTTCAGATGGATTTGGTGAAAGGGGGTGGGAGATGATGTTGATAGGATTTTCTGAGTCATCTGTGAGTAACTGTTAGCAGGATAAATTGTGATTGTCACAACTGTAATTGTAGATGTGTAACTAAATGGGGGGAAGAGTTAATCTTTCATTTCAGGACCAGTCTATGCCAGGACCATCAAGAACGAAGAGCGTGAGTGGGAGTGTAAGATCCTACCTAGAAAAGCAGCAACAGCAGAGACAGTGGCAGAGGCAATGGCATAGAGAGAGAGAGAGAGAGCACCTATAGGCTCTAGGCCCACGGACTTAGGAAGGCTGTGTTCCTGCGGGCAGGAGGCTGGCTTGCAGAATAGGACCTTTGGACATTTAAATGAGTATATATTTCTTGTTTTGTATGTGTACATTAAATATTTTTTCTTTGTTCATTTGTGAAATATAAGATGTAAAAGGGAAGTCACAGGGAGGAAGTAGGATAATTGTTGCAGGGCGGGGGTTGTAATCACTGAGATGAAACAAAGCATATAACTGGTTGAATGTAACAAAGTATATAATTGGTTGAATGTAAAGCTGATGATTTTGTCTGTTAACCTTCACCCAAGTCACAATAAAAAGTTTAAAAAAATTTAAAAAAGGGTTCAAGTTTAAGCACCGTGTAACTATTTTAAATGTTGTGGTCATTGATGAAGCTCATCCTGCAAAGTGTCTCTGATTTCAGGCTGCAGGAAAAGGGTTGGTTATCAGCTTTTCTCAACTAATCAGGTGTTTCTGAATTTAGTGGGAAGAGACTAACTCTGCTGGCTGCATTCTTCTCTCTAGAAAGTTCCAGGAACTCTGGAGAAGGTCTAATGCCTGGGACAGCTGGTAGGGAGAGCTATTAGTGATTCAGTTTTGAGACCTGGGGGTGCTATTCTGATTGATTCTTTCTAAACCAGAGGTTGCAAAATTTTTTCTGTAGAGGGTCAGAAGTAAACCTTTTCAGCTTAGCAGATCATACGGTTTCTGTGGCAACTACTCAACTCTGACCTTACAGACCAACAAAGTCAGAGACAGAATGAAAATGAGAAGTTCCAGTAAAACTTTATTTACAAAAAAAGGTAGTTTGCTAACTCTGATTTCACTCCAGGTTTCCTAACATAGTTTGAGAAACTGAAATAAAGTCAGCCTCTCTCTATAGATGCATCTACACTGAAGAACATCCCTGAAATGCTCATCGTTCTGAGGGTTGATCAGTGGTGGTGACTCTTCATATTGAAAGTAGGGAAGTCCATACTGTGATTACATTAAGTCATTTCATATGTTGGTCTTTTTTGCTTTGCTAAGTTGCTATCTGGAGTCCTGGTGTGGTGCTGTAGGATAAACACTCGGCTACAAGGTCAGTTTGAACTGCAAGATTGGCAGTTCAAACTTACCAGCTGCTCTTTGGAAACCCTATACAGGGTTGCTATGTGTCGAAACCGACTCCATGACACTTAACAAGAAGCTGCTATTTGGTGTGGTGCTGTGGATCAGCACTGGTCTGTGAAACACAAAGTCAGTAGTTCAAACCCACCAGCTACTCCTTGGAAGCCCTATACAGGGTCACTATGAGTCAGAACTGACTTGACAGCACTTAACAACAAGCCGCTATCTGAAGGTTAGGAAACAAGTCTTTTTAAAAATAACATCATTATATGAATAGAAAGTACTTGATACCTTTGCTGAATACTTCATGAATGAATGAACGAGTGTCCTCCTTCCTTAAGCTGATGTGAAGTGTGTAGTTCTTGGAAACCACTCAAGCTCTGTCCTTTGAGATTCTACCTTGAATGGGACATCCTGTGCCCCTAGGGCTGGGTACAATAGCCTGCACAAAGTAGCTCAAGAAACCAAGCCTGATGTCAGATCACATGGCCAAGGGTCCCAGAATTCAGGCCTCTGCTGTTCACACCTTCCAACCTAGCCAAGTGGCCACACTGCAGGTGGTCAGGGTATCCACTTCACAAATGACAGTTTTGCCATCTAGAGGAATGTGTTCCTGCCCAGGGAAGGAACTTTCTTGCAGATGTTTCTAGAAGATCTCAACATGAAGAACCATAGAGTAGACTTGGCTAATGCTATCCCTTCTAGAGGGTTTCTCTGCTCTTCTCAGCAACTTTGCCCAAGAGAGGAGTGTTCCAAGCTGATGGTGTTGATTGGTCCTTTGTCTTGCCTCACGGTATAACTTACTGTATCTCACAACACATGGTATCTTGTCTTGCATTCCTTTTTAAAGCACCGAAGGGACACTTTGTCAGAAAACTGTCTCTTGTCCATTTTGACACAATCTCAATCTTTATCAACAAATGCAAAGCACAACAAAGAGACAGAAAATTAGGAAATCCCTGAAACTTACGGCCGAATCCAGTCAGAACTGACCAGCCCCCATCTCAGGGTGAGACTCTTAGCAGGGCAAATTACTCACTAGCAAAGAGAAGGAAATTTAGAAATGTACTTCCTTAAGAGAAAATCCTCATTCAGGGGATGAAAGCTAGGTCAGAAGATGGATTTTAAGCAAATACTAACACATAAATTACTTCGCTGAAATGTTTTAAGTGTCAGATACATGATGAGGTAAATATTGTGCAGGGGTACACCTGATTTTGGAGTCCTGGTGTGGCACTGTGGGTTAATGCACCAGACTGTAAAGCCATTTGAACTGCAAGGTTGGCGGTTCAAGCCCACCAGTGTCTCCTTGGAAACCCTATACAGGGTCGTTATGGGTCAGAACCGACTCAACGGCACTTAATAACAACACCTGATTTTAAGGTAGGATATACAAGGAGGTTTCAAAAAATTTGTAGAAAAATTCCATTATCTTTTTATTCTATTGCCCATAAACTTTTTGAAGCCCCTTAGTCTCTGTGAGGAGTCCTGGTCTGGTACTGTAAGATAAGCATTGGACTACTAACTATAAGGTCAGCAGTTCAAACCCCCCAGTTGCACCTCAGAAATCCTATACAGGGTTGCTGAATCGGAAACAATTCAACACTTAACAGTCTGTGAACTTGTGGATAGTCCAGAGACTATATATAGTATACACACATATATCTCATCATATTCATTTGTCTAGGTAGATATTAACCATCATTGAGAAGATTTGTGCTCAAGCCAATGATCAGAAATCAAGCTCTGGAATTCTAAGTTCCCACCATCCTATCCACCTCTGAATGACCTTACTTCCGGCCACAGAGATTTCTGCGTAGAGTTCCATAGAAAGTACATAACGATAGAAAAAAGATAAAATAAAATTATAACAAATTACTCAGGGAGATGTCCTAGAGAAAAAGTTCTCAGAAGGCCAGAACTTCTCTGAAGTCCCGGGCACAGAAGTTGCTGGTGGCCCTGGTCCCACACAGGGCTGGGAGAAGGACTGTGACTCACAGGGTACACTCAGGGGGTTACTCACACTGTTGTTGATTCCTTTGTTGTCTTCGTACTTGGTTTCTATATGAATGGAGAATTTCGGCAGGAAAGAACACTAGGAAGGAAAAAGCACACTCTCATTAGCTGAGCATTGTCATTCTTCTCATAGTCAATATTGCCTCTGCATGCTCTGCTGACCATTTGGTGTAGAGCACTGGTCAAGAGCGGAAACCTATGATACTAAGTCAATATTCAAATTCAGACAAGCAAAGCTACCTGGGGGAACTTGAGCGGACTTCCTTCCAGATATCAAGTCAGAATAACCAACAATGGGAGGCAAGTGACTGAAGGGGACATTTCTAAAAATGAGTATGTTCTGTGAATCCTTCCACCACTGAAACAACTTCAATAAAGCGAATTTGTAAACAGTACCAGTTCCAGTTCTGGGGTGTTTACTTTGGGGAGCACCTGGGACCCCTGCCCTATAACCTTTATATCGATATATATATATATACACACACATGAAATTGTTGTGTGCTATCGAGTTGATTCTGACTCAGTGACCTATATAGAGTTTCAGAGCGGCTGGTGGGTTTGGACTGCTGATCATGCAGTTAGTAGTCCAGTGCTTATCCTACAATGCCACACCAGGGCTCACACACAAAGTTGTTGTTGTTAAGTGTTGTTGAGTCGATTCTGACCCATAGTGACCCTGTATAGGGTTTCCAAGGAGCCACCAACTTTGCAGTTCCAATGACTTTGCAGTCTGATGCATTAGCCCATAGCGCCACACATTTGAGTTTTCGGATTATGAATTTTGAAGGCAGACAGACCTACCTGTCAATTTTGGGTTCTCATTTGATAGTGATAACTCATTTAATTTCTCTAAACCCCAGTAAAATCAAAACATGGGCAATAATGATCTATTAGGACAGTGTGAGGATTCAATAAAAGCATATATGTAGAAGGTATATCCTGGGACACAGAGCAAGCATTCAGTAATGGCAGGGGTCCCACCACTCATCTGTCAGTCTGTCATACTGTGGTGGCTTGTGAGTTGCTGCGATTCTGGCAGCTATACCACAGGTATTTTAAATACCAGCAGGGTCACCCATGGTGGACAGGTTTCAGATAAGCTTCCGGACAAAGACAGACTAGGAAGAAGGCGATACGGACTAATTCTGAATATTTAATCACTGAAAGCCTTATGAGTGGCAGTGGAACAATGTCATCACCAGATTATTGAATACTGAAACATGATGAATGGATGGGATGACATCAAAAACATAATTCAGACATAGTGATGGAGGACGAGCCCCTCAGGTTGGAAGACACTCAAAATATGACTGAGGAAGAGCTGCCTCCTCAAAGTAGAGTTGACTGTGATGACGCAAATGGAGTAAAACCCTCAGGACTTTCATTTGCTGATGGGGCACAACTCAAAATGAAGAGAAACAGCTGTAAACATCCAATAATAATCAGAACATGGAATGTAAGAAATATGAATCTAGGAAACCTGGAAATTGTCAAAATGAAATGGAACATATGAACAATCAAAATCCTAGGCATTAGAGTAAACTGAAATGGACTGGTATTGGCCATTTTGAATCTGACAATTGCATGGTTTACTATGCCAAGAATGACAAATTGAAGAGGAATGGTGTCGTAGTCATCATCAAAAAGAACATATCAAGATCAGTTATGAAGTACAACGCTGTCTGTGATACAATAATATCCATATGCCTACAAGGAAAACCAGTTAATACCACTATTATTCAAATCTATGCACCAACCACAAAAGCCAATGATGATGAAATTGAAGAATTCTGCCAACTTCTTCAGTCTGAAATAGATCCAATATACAATCAAGATGTATTAAAAATTACTGGCGATTGGAATACAAAGGTTGAAAAAAAAGAGGAAGGATCAGTAGTTGGAAAACATGGCCGTGGAGCTAGAAATGATGCTGGCAATCACATGATAGAATTTTCCAAGACCGATGACTTGTTTATTGCAAATACCTTTTAAAACAAATAAAAGACACGTGGACCTCATCAGATCAGATGGAATACACACAAATCAAATAGACTGTATCTGTGAAAAGAGACAGTGGAAAAGCCCCATTCATCAGCCAAAATAAGGCCTTGAGCAGACTGTGGAACAGACCATCAATTGCTCATATGGAAATGCAGGCTGAAGCAGAAGAAAATTACAACAAGTCCATGAGAGCCAAAATATGACCTTGAGTATATCCCACATGAATTTAGAGATGATTTAAAGAACAGATTTGATGCATTAGACACTAAAGACCGAAGACCAGAAGAGTTGTGGGATGACATCAAGAACATCATACAGGAAGAAAACAAAAGGTCCTTAAGAAAACAAGAAAGAAGGAAAAGACCAAAATGGATGTGAGAAGAGACTCTGAAACTTGCTCTCCAGCATAGAGATGCTAAAGCAAATGGAAGAAGTGAGGAGGTACAAGGGATGAGTAGAACATTTCAAAGGGCAGCATCAGGATTGGATGAAGACGCATTAACAACCTGTGATATGCAGATGATACAACCTTGCTTGCTGAAAGTGAGGAGGACTTAAAATACTTAACTGATGAAGATCAAAGACCACAGCCTTAAGTATGGGTTGCATCTCAACATAAAAAAAAGAAAACAAAAATCCTCACCACTGGACCAATAAACAACATCCATATAAATAGAGAAAAGATAGAAATTGTTAAAGACTTCATTTTGCTCAGATCAACAATCAACACTCATGGAAATAGCAGTCAAGAAATCAAACAACATACTGCATTAGGCAAATCTGATGAACAAGACCCCTTCTTTAAAGCAGTCAAGAGCGAAGGTGTCAGTTTGAGGACTAAGGTGTGCCAGACCCAAACCATTGTATTTTCAATATCCTCATATGCATGCAAAAGTTGGCCAGTGAATAAGGAAGACAGTAGAAGAATCGATGCATTTGAGTTATGGTGTTGGAGGAGAATGTTGAAAGTGCCATGGACTGCCAAAAGAACAGATTTGTGTTGGAAGAAGTGCAGCCAGAGTGTTCCTTGGAAGTCAGGATGACCAGACTTCGTTTCTCATACTTCGGACACACTATAAGGAGGAACCAGGCACTGAAGAATGACATCATGTTTGGTAAATTGGAGGGTCAGAGAAAAAGAGGAAGACCCCCAATGAGATGAAGTGGCACAGTGGCAGCATCAATGGGCTCAGGCGTAGCAACAATTGTGAGGTGGATCCCAGGACCAGGGAGTGTTTTGTTCTATCGTGCATAAGGTCACTATGAGCCAGCACTGACTCAATGGCACCTAACAACAACAACAACAATAGCAGGGATCAGTATGTGGTTGCACATGAGATTGCCGTAAAATGTTGCCCCTCTTTTTTCCCACCCAAGGGAGAGAGACCCCAAATGTAACACAATGAGGGTCTGATTTCACTGAACGACATTCGGCACAGTCAATAGATGAAAGGTTCAGAGTAACTTGACAAGAGCTTCTGATAGGTCTTGATTTAACTTCCCTCCTTCTTGCATTGAGCTGAGCATTAACTTTCTCAGCCACCAGAGATGAGACTGAAGACTAATTGGTACAATGATCTGGCAACTCCTCCTAGAGCTGTAGGTATTGGGGCAATCAGGACTTGGGCTAACATGATCATAGTTCCAAAAGGCTGTGGTCTTCATGTATCGACCCAGCACTCACAGGCATGCCCTCTAATCACAGGGCACAGCTGTAAGTGACTTCAAGTTCTAACCCATTTATTTCTTTCAACGATCCCTACTTTACAGATGAGGAAATGAGGCACAGATAAGTTCAGTAAATTGGATGATACAGCAAGTAAGTAGTAGAGCCAGGAATGAAGGCCCTAATAGGTTAGAATCGCCTTGCTCTTAATCCCAGCTCCTGTGGTGCTCACAGTGGGATCCACAGGCTGCCATCATCATCCGGAAATGCTCATTCTCAGGCCCAACCCAGACCCACTGAAGTAGGAACTCTGGAGGTGGCGCTGAGCATCCTGTGCTTAACAAGCGTTCGAGATGATGTGGTTGCCCAGTCAGGTGGGAAACCTGTTATATTAACACCATGCATTGCAGGGCGAGGAAGCATAGGTGTGTAAACATCCCAAAGCCCACAAATGCCCACCCTCACCACTTTTGCTTCATCTCACGCTGACTCTGCTTCCCTTTGAGCCCAGCTGAGACCCCATGGGTAGGAGAGGGCTGAGGCCTTGGACATACCATCAATAATTCTCCTGACATCACATGCCTGCGTGCATTCAGCGTTCATCTGTCTTAATCTGAGCGAAACAAGCAATCCGAACCGTGACTAAGGAAACAGGGAAACAATCAATCGCAGTAATTGCCTTTATGGAGAATGAGGCTCTGCGATTATTCATTAACACCTTCTTTGCTGTCTCCTGGCAAACCTCTCACCCAGTAACTGCTGCCCTCAGTCAGTTCCAGGAAGTCCCAAGGGAGGAGACCTTGGAAGACTTGAGCAGCTCCCAGTCCCGGGGCGGCGCTCTTGATTGATGGTGAACTTGGTGAGATGCACTTGACTTGCTGTTCAGTGTGGTGAGTCGGTTCGAACTCACAGTGGCACTTGATTAGAGATCCCTTTAAAATGGCAAGCCTCTAGATCAAGTGACTGAACTGCTTTATAACCTCCATCTCTATTCATATGAGGGCCAACCCGCTCAGTGAACAGTACCAGAAGGGAGAAGAGTGGCGCTGACCCGGGGTGGGGAGTTGAGCCTCTGTGTGTTAGACTGAACTCCCCTGGGCATTTTTACAGGTTGAAATCTAAACCAGGGCTTTGAACTGGTTCATTCTGGGTTGACCCCCTGCTGAGAATTTGCCTTTCCACCCCAGACATACTGAGTTAGAATTTACCGTTTTACAAGATCCTCAATGAATCTTATTGAAGCCCTGTTCTAAACCACTTAACTAGGCCAAGGAAATGAATTTTAACATTTGGACATTAAACCCAAATATGAAATGTAAAACTCCCATGTAAATGAGCAGATGTTGTTATTTTTCGAGTTGAAGACTTAAGCTATTTTCATATCTGAATGGCAACCCAGGCTAGAGTGCACC